AGTTTAAGGCTTTTACTTTACACAGTTTGTCATTATTCTTGATTACTTCTCTTATAATAATTGCAATTGATAATATTGTTTGGTTCAACTTTTGTTCAGACCACAGTCCGACTTTGAGAGCTACCTTAACATTGCGATCTGGTTCAACAAGTATTGCAAATGAGATGCATTTTCAGACAAGTGACTTGAGCCATCATGCCATTAATGTTATTGTAATATTGGGGCGGAATATTTTATTTCTGAAAAGGAGAGTGTGGAGCATAATGCATTTGTAATTGGAATTTCTATCTATTTTTAATAAAAAGAATATTTCACTCAAGGTAATGTTGTAGCTTCGGGTTATTAAAAGCATGAGACACTGAATTATCACCGAATTTTCCATTATTTATTTATTTGCTGATAATTTTGTTTGAGATTTTGTACAACCCAAGGATGATTGTTTTTATGTCGAGCAATCTTTTTAGCACTCTTATATTTTTTAGCATCTATGAATAGAATTTCAAATTATTCTTAAGCTGGAAATATTAATCTATTTTAAGCAGTATAATTTGAAATTCAAAAATATATTGAATTATATACTCTAAAAATAATTTTAGATGACACTATTCTAGATTTTACAATTTAGAATATATTTCTAAATTTATAAATCTGACAATAATGTAATTCAAAATATATTTGGATTATATAATTCAAAATATTTTATAAATTGCATAGTTTAGAAATTTATTTCTTGTTGTACAATATAAAATATATTCTAGAATATATTTTTAAATATCAAATATATTTTGAATTGTATAATTTGAAATATATTTTTATGTAATTTGAAATATATTTTTATGTAATTTGAAAATATATCTTTTATTACATAATTTACAAATTCAAATATGTTTTTGGATTTAGAAAGAATGCCTATTGAAATTATACAATTTTTGGATACACAATATATTTCTAAAGCATAAACAATTTTTAATATGAATGAAGAAATTATAGGAACGAAAGAAGAAAAAACATTTATGTCGATCTTCCAAACATTCTTAAGTGTGGATGTGCTTTTTTCAAAACACGATAAGGACTAAGGAGAATGGTATTTTTTTTTCACTTATTATAAAGTTTCCATACAATTTTTAAATTATTTTGTATTGTTTTCAATATAAGTTTTTCTTCCTCTACTTTCTTCTTTTAGTATCATAGTATACAAAATGAGCTAATTTGTCATTCTCATAATATATTTTTGAATGATGTAAGTTGGAATGTTTACACTAACGTAATTTGAAATATAATTTTGGATTACATTGTATTGTTTAAATTATGTAATTTGAAATATAACTTTGAATTATGTAACATAAAATATAGTTCTAGATTGGATAATCTAGTGTTATTTTGGTTTATGTTCTCTATAATAATATTCTCTGAATTGCAAAATTTAGATATGTTTTGAATTATTATTATTATTTTGAAATATATTTAGAACAAATTATGACGTGAAAGATGGGGTGGGAAAAGAAAATATGGGGGTACAAAACCCTGCCTTCTTTAAATGTTTAGGATCAGGGGAGGGCCCAAAGAACATTGGCACATCAAAAAATACGAAAGAATAAGATAAAGGAATTCGAAAGCGCAGAGGCAAGTCTCTCGGCGTCGTGCTCTGCAGCACTGAGGTTTGATACCAATGCTGGCCAATCTTTTGGGTTTCACCACCACACTTCCTTCTCCACCCGATTCCTCTGCTTTCATTCCGACTAAAACCTATCACTCTCCGAATAAATATCCTTTCAACAAACTGAGTTTGGATAAAAATGCTGATTCCAGCACCCCAAAGAAGAGGGTCGATAAGAAGCTGCACTCCACGTGTTCGACGAGATGGGTCTCTCACGGTGGACGCATTCCTTCCCTTCTCCACGCTCTTGACACCATTCACGACTTGGATAACGCTCTAAGACAGTGGGAGGAGACTCTGTCCAGCAGGGAAATCAATGCAATTCTCAAGGCCCAGGTCTCTTGGCAGAGGGCTCTGCAGATTTTCGAGTGGTTCAAGGAAAAGGGTTGCTATGACTTGAACGTCATTCACTACAACATAATGCTCTGGACCCTTGGCAGAGCGTGCAAGTGGGGGCTTGTGGAGAATTTGTGGGGTGAAATGAATGCTAAAGGGGTTGCACCTGTGAATTCCACGTATGGGACCTTGATTGATGTTTATAGCAAAGGTGGGCTCAAAGAAGAAGCTCTTGCTTGGCTTCAGAGGATGCAGAATCAAGGAATGGAGCCTGATGAGGTCACCATGGGGATTGTTGTTTTGTTGTACAAGAGGGGGGGAGAGTTCCGAAAAGCTGAAGAGTTCTTCCGAAGATGGATTAGAGGTGAACCTTTTAGATTAGGGGTTAGTCATAATTTTGCAGTGTGTGATGAAGGATCACGTGCCGATGTTTGTTTAAGCTCGAATACATATACTACCTTGATTGACACGTATGGGAAGGGTGGTCAATTTCGCGCAGCATGTGAAACTTTTGCTAGGATGATCAGACAATGCATGACCTTGAATACAGTGACACTGAATTTAATGATTCGCTTATATGGAAACTGTGGAAGGCTACAACAAGCTTGTTTGTTGTTCCAGAAAATGGGAGAGTTTCGGTGCCGACCCGACACTTGGACGTATAACATTCTCATTTCGGCTTATATTAAGAATAATAATGTCAACATGGCAGCTAAATGTCTTGCAAGGATGAAACAGTCCTGCCTTGAGCCAGATGTTGTGAGTTACCGTATCCTCTTGTATGCATACTCGCCAAGGAAGATGGTCCAAGAAGCGGAAGAGCTTGTACGGGAGATGGATGAAAGGAATCTTGCAATTGATGAGGTCACCCAATCTGCTTTGACTAGAATGTATGTAGAATCAGGTATGCTTGAGCAGTCATGGTTGTGGTTCAGGAGGTTTCACCTAGCTGGGAATATTAGTTCTGCCTGTTATTCTGCTAATATTGACGCTTATGGAGAGCGAGGGTACACTTTAGAAGCAGAGAAAGTATTTATGTGCTGCAAAGAAAAGAAGAAGCTCACTGTCCTCGAGTTTAATGTAATGATTAAAGCTTATGGGATAGGAAAATGCTATGATAAAGCATGCCAATTGTTTGATTGTATGAAGAAATTTGGTGTTGTCGCAGACAAATGCAGCTACGGTTCTCTTATACATATTTTGGCCAGTGCTGACAAGCCGCGTGATGCAAGATCTTATCTTGAAAGAATGCAGAAAGCAGGACTTGTGAGTGACTGTGTTCCATATTGTGTTGTGATAAAAAGCTTCGCGAAGTTAGGGCAATTGAAAATGGCTGAAGAATTGTACCAAACGATGCTTGGATACGCCGTGCAGCCTGATGTGATTATTTATGGTGTTTTTATCAATGCTTTTGCTGATGCGGGAAGTGTTGAAGAAGCCAACAAATATGTTAATGAAATGCGAAAGGCAGGATTGCTAGGGAATCCAACTATATATAACTCTTTAATTAAGTTGTATACTAAATTAGGCTACCTGGAAGAAGCTCAAGAAACATACAAATTGCTTCAATCGTCAGATGAAGGTCCTTCTATATTTTCCTCTAATTGTATGATTGATCTTTATACTGAACTTGTTATGGTTGAACAAGCAATAGAGATATTTGAGAGCTTGAAGAAGAAAGAAATTGCAAATGAGTTTTCGTATGCAATGATGCTATGTATGTATAAGAAAATCGGAAGATTGGATGAAGCCATTCAAATTGCAACACAGATGAGAAGACTAGGTCTTTTGACTGATGTATTGAGTTATAATAATGTGCTTGGTTTGTATTCTGTGGATAGGAGGCTAAGGGAAGCTACAGAAACTTTCAAGGAAATGATAAAATCTGGCATTCAACCAGACGATTTCACATTTAGAGCTCTTGCTAACATTTTGCTGAATTGTGGAGTTTCAAAGCGGGCGGTTGGCAGGCTAGAAGTAATGGTGAAAAGGGATTCTCCTCATGGTTTGCAAGGATGGATGCTGGCACTCTCATGTGCATCTGAAGGAGATAATTCTCCAAAAGAATAGATGTGCTTAACGATGGAGCCTACATTATAAAAGCATGACTAAAATATACCTGGTCTGGCTTTCCTCTGGTGCTGAGTTTCCTTTAATTTGGTTACTTGGCTAAGGCTATGATTGGAGCATTTCAAGCACGGCATTTAGAATTACTAGTGGTAATTTCTATGATAATCTGTTATAATATATGGCTTGGTAGTTTGTATAGAAGTCCATAAAATTAGGCAAAGTATATGGGAATATATGAAATATGAAGATAGGATAAATTGGTATCAGTTATATTTTGTTCCAGAGTTGCTGCACGTTGCTATTCATTTCTTAATTCACCATTTTCTCTGCCAGAATAATTCCAAGATTTGAAAGAGCATACTTTTACCTAGTCATAACTACAATTCTCCCCTGTTTGCAGGATTCTTGGATGGGAAAAAGTTTTGACTCCTTTTACGCGTATTCTTGAAGGTCAGTAATGGGAATTGGAGTGTTGACACTCTTTGGTTGGAACTAAATGAACTGCGTTTCCCTTTTTTCCTCATTTCAAGGACGTAAGTCATTTAGTATACACGAGGAATAGGAATAGAATGAGTAAGAAAATAGAGGAAATCTAGAAATATCATACCAATATTTTAAATGTATAGTATGGAAATTAATCAAAAGAGATTTTCAAACTAAATTCATCTCATAGATTACTACTGGGCCAATGAATTAATTCTGTATCTAATTATCGGTGGTTCGTATTTGGAATGCATTTTCCCTCCATTGTTTTAGTTTAATATGTGCAATTAGCGCTTGATGATATTTGTTAAGTAAATGTTCAGATAAATTGTGCGCAGTTNTTATTATTATTTTGAAATATATTTAGAACAAAGTATGACGTGAAAGATGGGGTGGGAAAAGAAAATATGGGGGTACAAAACCCTGCCTTCTTTAAATGTTTAGGATCAGGGGAGGGCCCAAAGAACATTGGCACATCAAAAAATACGAAAGAATAAGATAAAGGAATTCGAAAGCGCAGAGGCAAGTCTCTCGGCGTCGTGCTCTGCAGCACTGAGGTTTGATACCAATGCTGGCCAATCTTTTGGGTTTCACCACCACACTTCCTTCTCCACCCGATTCCTCTGCTTTCATTCCGACTAAAACCTATCACTCTCCGAATAAATATCCTTTCAACAAACTGAGTTTGGATAAAAATGCTGATTCCAGCACCCCAAAGAAGAGGGTCGATAAGAAGCTGCACTCCACGTGTTCGACGAGATGGGTCTCTCACGGTGGACGCATTCCTTCCCTTCTCCACGCTCTCGACACCATTCACGACTTGGATAACGCTCTAAGACAGTGGGAGGAGACTCTGTCCAGCAGGGAAATCAGTGCAATTCTGAAGGCCCAGGTCTCTTGGCAGAGGGCTCTGCAGATTTTCGAGTGGTTCAAGGAAAAGGGTTGCTATGACTTGAACGTCATTCACTACAACATAATGCTCTGGACCCTTGGCAGAGCGTGCAAGTGGGGGCTTGTGGAGAATTTGTGGGGTGAAATGAATGCTAAAGGGGTTGCACCTGTGAATTCCACGTATGGGACCTTGATTGATGTTTATAGCAAAGGTGGGCTCAAAGAAGAAGCTCTTGCTTGGCTTCAGAGGATGCAGAATCAAGGAATGGAGCCTGATGAGGTCACCATGGGGATTGTTGTTTTGTTGTACAAGAGGGGGGGAGAGTTCCGAAAAGCTGAAGAGTTCTTCCGAAGATGGATTAGAGGTGAACCTTTTAGATTAGGGGTTAGTCATAATTTTGCAGTGTGTGATGAAGGATCACGTGCCGATGTTTGTTTAAGCTCGAAGACATATACTACCTTGATTGACACGTATGGGAAGGGTGGTCAATTTCGCGCAGCATGTGAAACTTTTGCTAGGATGATCAGACAATGCATGACCTTGAATACAGTGACACTGAATTTAATGATTCGCTTATATGGAAACTGTGGAAGGCTACAACAAGCTTGTTTGTTGTTCCAGAAAATGGGAGAGTTTCGGTGCCGACCCGACACTTGGACGTATAACATTCTCATTTCGGCTTATATTAAGAATAATAATGTCAACATGGCAGCTAAATGTCTTGCAAGGATGAAACAGTCCTGCCTTGAGCCAGATGTTGTGAGTTACCGTATCCTCTTGTATGCATACTCGCCAAGGAAGATGGTCCAAGAAGCGGAAGAGCTTGTACGGGAGATGGATGAAAGGAATCTTGCAATTGATGAGGTCACCCAATCTGCTTTGACTAGAATGTATGTAGAATCAGGTATGCTTGAGCAGTCATGGTTGTGGTTCAGGAGGTTTCACCTAGCTGGGAATATTAGTTCTGCCTGTTATTCTGCTAATATTGACGCTTATGGAGAGCGAGGGTACACTTTAGAAGCAGAGAAAGTATTTATGTGCTGCAAAGAAAAGAAGAAGCTCACTGTCCTCGAGTTTAATGTAATGATTAAAGCTTATGGGATAGGAAAATGCTATGATAAAGCATGCCAATTGTTTGATTGTATGAAGAAATTTGGTGTTGTCGCAGACAAATGCAGCTACGGTTCTCTTATACATATTTTGGCCAGTGCTGACAAGCCGCGTGATGCAAGATCTTATCTTGAAAGAATGCAGAAAGCAGGACTTGTGAGTGACTGTGTTCCATATTGTGTTGTGATAAAAAGCTTCGCGAAGTTAGGGCAATTGAAAATGGCTGAAGAATTGTACCAAACGATGCTTGGATACGCCGTGCAGCCTGATGTGATTATTTATGGTGTTTTTATCAATGCTTTTGCTGATGCGGGAAGTGTTGAAGAAGCCAACAAATATGTTAATGAAATGCGAAAGGCAGGATTGCCAGGGAATCCAACTATATATAACTCTTTAATTAAGTTGTATACTAAATTAGGCTACCTGGAAGAAGCTCAAGAAACATACAAATTGCTTCAATCGTCAGATGAAGGTCCTTCTATATTTTCCTCTAATTGTATGATTGATCTTTATACTGAACTTGTTATGGTTGAACAAGCAATAGAGATATTTGAGAGCTTGAAGAAGAAAGAAATTGCAAATGAGTTTTCGTATGCAATGATGCTATGTATGTATAAGAAAATCGGAAGATTGGATGAAGCCATTCAAATTGCAACACAGATGAGAAGACTAGGTCTTTTGACTGATGTATTGAGTTATAATAATGTGCTTGGTTTGTATTCTGTGGATAGGAGGCTAAGGGAAGCTACAGAAACTTTCAAGGAAATGATAAAATCTGGCATTCAACCAGACGATTTCACATTTAGAGCTCTTGCTAACATTTTGCTGAATTGTGGAGTTTCAAAGCGGGCGGTTGGCAGGCTAGAAGTAATGGTGAAAAGGGATTCTCCTCATGGTTTGCAAGGATGGATGCTGGCACTCTCATGTGCATCTGAAGGAGATAATTCTCCAAAAGAATAGATGTGCTTAACGATGGAGCCTACATTATAAAAGCATGACTAAAATATACCTGGTCTGGCTTTCCTCTGGTGCTGAGTTTCCTTTAATTTGGTTACTTGGCTAAGGCTATGATTGGAGCATTTCAAGCACGGCATTTAGAATTACTAGTGGTAATTTCTATGATAATCTGTTATAATATATGGCTTGGTAGTTTGTATAGAAGTCCATAAAATTAGGCAAAGTATATGGGAATATATGAAATATGAAGATAGGATAAATTGGTATCAGTTATATTTTGTTCCAGAGTTGCTGCACGTTGCTATTCATTTCTTAATTCACCATTTTCTCTGCCAGAATAATTCCAAGATTTGAAAGAGCATACTTTTACCTAGTCATAACTACAATTCTCCCCTGTTTGCAGGATTCTTGGATGGGAAAAAGTTTTGACTCCTTTTACGCGTATTCTTGAAGGTCAGTAATGGGAATTGGAGTGTTGACACTCTTTGGTTGGAACTAAATGAACTGCGTTTCCCTTTTTTCCTCATTTCAAGGACGTAAGTCATTTAGTATACACGAGGAATAGGAATAGAATGAGTAAGAAAATAGAGGAAATCTAGAAATATCATACCAATATTTTAAATGTATAGTATGGAAATTAATCAAAAGAGATTTTCAAACTAAATTCATCTCATAGATTACTACTGGGCCAATGAATTAATTCTGTATCTAATTATCGGTGGTTCGTATTTGGAATGCATTTTCCCTCCATTGTTTTAGTTTAATATGTGCAATTAGCGCTTGATGATATTTGTTAAGTAAATGTTCAGATAAATTGTGCGCAGTTTTGGGATGTTTTTGTTTTTTTTCTGGGGATATCAGTCCTACTTGCTAGCTTCTTTGTTGTTTGGAGAAGATATGGTTTGTCAGTAGAGGTTCTTAATCCTGCACACCTCATTGTTCAGGTATACTTTAACATTATTACCTGAAGCCAGCATGATTGTCAAAATGTTGAACTAACTTTATACTTTAGCTGCATTCTAGTGCCTTTTGCAACTAAATGAAACTCTATCCTGGAAAGTTTGTTATTCCATATGCAAGTCTTTACTCGACATACTGGTGGTCAGTACTCAATTATTATTTGTCAGAGTTACATACTTAAATATCATGCAATTCAAACAGATGTGGACTTTTTCTTTGTATTTCAGCCCATTTTAGGACTCAAACGGTCATGTACTCTATGGAATGCCTGAATCTGACAATTGTTTTGGCCAAGTCTAAGCTTACATTTTCATCCCAATAGAAAGTAAGCAATTTTGCATGTTATCTTTTGGGGGAGACCTTTTCATTATTTATGTCTAGTATATTTATCACTTTTTTCTGACTTTTTTCAGCTTGAAGAAAAAGTAATTTTGTTGCGGGCAGATCTAATGGAAAGCTAAGCTACCAGAGAAGTATGGTTGCATCCCCATTTGGTTTTCCCCAATTATACAATTTTAGTCATTCTATTTCTATAAAATTGCAAACGCCAAATTTCAATAAAATTTGAATCACTTCTCCTTTGTTTTAAAATTTTTCATTTTCTATTTACAAGTATAGCACAATTGCATAAACCCTCTCATCCTTCTTTTCAAAATTACCATAACTCCCTTGTTTAAATATCATTAAATCATAAAGTTTCATCTGATTTTCTTGAACAAAATGTTATGATGTCAATTATGCTGTAATATTAATGTGGTGTTTTTCTTTTTTTTATGCTTTTTCTTTATCCAGATTAGTTAAAATATTTTACTACAGTATATATGCACTTCAGTATCTCAATATACTATGTAATAGTTGAGATGAGACTATCTATTCTGAAAAAGTGTTGCAAACATGGAACTCTTTTTCGATTCTGCCTTTTAGAGCTGGAATTTTAAAATCAGTATTGGATAAGAAAAAGCATATGATGATCATGTTAAAACAAAAAGTCCTATCAAAGCTTCAAATATCCTTTCATAATTGATTTTACAGGAAACCACAGTTACTGTAACATTTGATCATTATTGATTTTTTTTAAACAAAATCACATCTCTATTTCCTTTGCCAACTTAAATTTAATGACATGAATGTAATTACTTGTTTTTTAGGTTAAAAGTTTATTATTTTTAAGAAATACCAATTTCCTAATTTCGCAGTCCTCTTGCCAATGGAAAACACATTATTTTCCAGCCCCAAGCTGACGTTACAGAATTAGACTCACTTGAATATTGTTTTTAAGAACATTTCAATTGAAGTTAAATCGTAATTTTTATTTCTTTTCGACTTCTATTTAACGATATTGTTTTTTTATTTCATTTGCTTATAGTCCAATTCACCTTGAGATATGATACATTCGTTCAATATTTCATCAAAAAAATATTGTAGAAAAGTTAAAGTAACTGGTGTTCTAAAATGGAGGAACTACACTTTCTTTATCTGTTACACTTAGATTATAAGTTTTTCTTCCAAAGAGAAAAGGATGAATATGTTAAATCTCATAGAAGAGGAAGTTATAATCTAGCATGACTTTCATCCCACACTATATTATTCTACTTTTCTCCCCTTTAGTTAGTCAAATTTTAATCAAATGATTATTTTTCTAAAATTTCCTACTATTAATAAAACTTGTCTGTATAATACTATTGATATTAAAAATTTGATTTATGGTATTGCAATATTATACCACGAAACAATATCGACTTTTTATAAACATTATGCTTGTTTATAGTAATGGATATCAAAGAATAAAATTAGTAATAGATAAAGATGAATACTTTTATTAAATACTCGTAAATAGTAGATACATGCGTTCTAATTATCCACTTGTCAATTACTGTGTATAAATATTATGGTATTCCTATTCTTAGATATCTGGTATTTGTATTCAGTAATTTTAAAAAGAATTAAGTAATAAACATTAATAATTGAAAAGCTATTTAAAGTTTAATTTTATATATTTCTTGTTCTTTATTTAAATTTATGGAATTATAATTAATTAAAAATATTAACTTTATTTAATTTTATGTTTTGCAGCGTAACTTGTTTAAGTTTATATTTTTCACAGGCTCATTTTATTTGTACTAAATTTATAGTGCAACTTTATTTAAATCATACTTTAAGATAAAAAAAATTANGATGAGAAGACTAGGTCTTTTGACTGATGTATTGAGTTATAATAATGTGCTTGGTTTGTATTCTGTGGATAGGAGGCTAAGGGAAGCTACAGAAACTTTCAAGGAAATGATAAAATCTGGCATTCAACCAGACGATTTCACATTTAGAGCTCTTGCTAACATTTTGCTGAATTGTGGAGTTTCAAAGCGGGCGGTTGGCAGGCTAGAAGTAATGGTGAAAAGGGATTCTCCTCATGGTTTGCAAGGATGGATGCTGGCACTCTCATGTGCATCTGAAGGAGATAATTCTCCAAAAGAATAGATGTGCTTAACGATGGAGCCTACATTATAAAAGCATGATTAAAATATACCTGGTCTGGCTTTCCTCTGGTGCTGAGTTTCCTTTAATTTGGTTACTTGGCTTAGGCTATGATTGGAGCATTTCAAGCACGGCATTTAGAATTACTAGTGGTAATTTCTATGATAATCTGTTATAATATATGGCTTGGTAGTTTGTATAGAAGTCCATAAAATTAGGCAAAGTATATGGGAATATATGAAATATGAAGATAGGATAAATTGGTATCAGTTATATTTTGTTCCAGAGTTGCTGCACGTTGCTATTCATTTCTTAATTCACCATTTTCTCTGCCAGAATAATTCCAAGATTTGAAAGAGCATACTTTTACCTAGTCATAACTACAATTCTCCCCTGTTTGCAGGATTCTTGGATGGGAAAAAGTTTTGACTCCTTTTACGCGTATTCTTGAAGGTCAGTAATGGGAATTGGAGTGTTGACACTCTTTGGTTGGAACTAAATGAACTGCGTTTCCCTTTTTTCCTCATTTCAAGGACGTAAGTCATTTAGTATACACGAGGAATAGGAATAGAATGAGTAAGAAAATAGAGGAAATCTAGAAATATCATACCAATATTTTAAATGTATAGTATGGAAATTAATCAAAAGAGATTTTCAAACTAAATTCATCTCATAGATTACTACTGGGCCAATGAATTAATTCTGTATCTAATTATCGGTGGTTCGTATTTGGAATGCATTTTCCCTCCATTGTTTTAGTTTAATATGTGCAATTAGCGCTTGATGATATTTGTTAAGTAAATGTTCAGATAAATTGTGCGCAGTTTTGGGATGTTTTTGTTTTTTTTCTGGTGATATCAGTCCTACTTGCTAGCTTCTTTGTTGTTTGGAGAAGATATGGTTTGTCAGTAGAGGTTCTTAATCCTGCACACCTCATTGTTCAGGTATACTTTAACATTATTACCTGAAGCCAGCATGATTGTCAAAATGTTGAACTAACTTTATACTTTAGCTGCATTCTAGTGCCTTTTGCAACTAAATGAAACTCTATCCTGGAAAGTTTGTTATTCCATATGCAAGTCTTTACTCGACATACTGGTGGTCAGTACTCAATTATTATTTGTCAGAGTTACATACTTAAATATCATGCAATTCAAACATATGTGGACTTTTTCTTTGTATTTCAGCCCATTTTAGGACTCAAACGGTCATGTACTCTATGGAATGCCTGAATCTGACAATTGTTTTGGCCAAGTCTAAGCTTACATTTTCATCCCAATAGAAAGTAAGCAATTTTGCATGTTATCTTTTGGGGGAGACCTTTTCATTATTTATGTCTAGTATATTTATCACTTTTTTCTGACTTTTTTCAGCTTGAAGAAAAAGTAATTTTGTTGCGGGCAGATCTAATGGAAAGCTTAGCTACCAGAGAAGTATGGTTGCATCCCCATTTGGTTTTCCCCAATTATACAATTTTAGTCATTCTATTTCTATAAAATTGCAAACGCCAAATTTCAATAAAATTTGAATCACTTCTCCTTTGTTTTAAAATTTTTCATTTTCTATTTACAAGTATAGCACAATTGCATAAACCCTCTCATCCTTCTTTTCAAAATTACCATAACTCCCTTGTTTAAATATCATTAAATCATAAAGTTTCATCTGATTTTCTTGAACAAAATGTTAT